TTTAGTTTCGTGTTACAAAATTTGAAGAGAAGAATGAATGAAATTCTTTTTCTTGCAGGTACAGAAATGTAACGTGTGTTGTTTACACTGGTGATAGAGATGTCACCGGAGAAGAAATAGTAGAAGGTGCTTTCAGAAGATTCAATATTAAATTAATTCATCCTGTGAAGTTTGTATTTCTAGAAAAACGCTACCTTGTGGAAGCTTCTCTTTACCCTCACTTCACTTTGCTGGGACAAAGTTTAGGATCAGTGTTTCTCGGCTGGGAAGCTCTTCTAAAGTGTGTTCCTGATATTTATATTGACTCAATGGGTTATGCCTTCACGCTTCCCCTCTTTAAATATTTAGGAGGTTGTCGCGTTGGATGCTATGTCCATTATCCCACTATCAGCACCGATATGCTTTCTGTCGTTAGGAATCAGGATACCAGGTTTAACAATGCAGCCTTCATTACAAACAGTCCTCTTTTCAGCAAATTTAAACTTGTCTACTACTACTTCTTTGCTTTCGTGTACGGATTGGTTGGTTCCTGCAGTGATGTGATTATGGTTAATTCTTCTTGGACACTAAATCACATCCTTTCCCTCTGGAGAGCTGGGGCTTGCACTAGCGTTGTGTATCCACCGTGCGATGTTCAGACCTTCCTGGATATTCCACTGGAAGAGGAGAAGAGCACCATTGAATATTCCATTGTTTCTGTCAGCCAGTTCAGGCCGGAAAAAGATCATCCTTTGCAAATCAGAGCCTTTGCTAAATTGCTGAAAGAGAAGAGACTGGGGCAGCAGCCATCATTGAAGCTTATCTTAATTGGAGGCTGTCGTAACCAGCAAGATGAAGAGCGTGTAAATAACCTTAAACGTCTTTGTGAAGAGCTGGGAGTTAGTAACAATGTGATGTTCAGAATAAACGTTCCCTTTGAGGAGCTAAAGAGACACCTGGCTGAGGCCACCATCGGCCTGCATACGATGTGGAATGAGCACTTCGGGATCGGTCAGTATCTTTCCTCAGTGTTCAGCCATTTGTCCCAGCTGGGGACACGGTTGGGGAGGGCTTCAGTTCATGATTAAGGCTCCTCAGTGTAGGTGTCTAAGCATAGAGGTCTGCATGCCAAGCAGGTGTCCAATTCCCATTCTCATTAGAGGTGATCTAGCTGAGGTAGAGCCTGCAGGACCAATTCAGATGACTAACCCCTAGGTGCTACTGTAGTGCAAGCTGGAGCGCTGTAGACGTTGTAGACTATTAATTACGGGCATCCTCTAGTCACCTATACAGACAGCTAGTCCCATCTGTGCTGCCCAAGATGTTCTGCCTGACCTCCAGCTGTTGCTCTGCAAGGTCATGGGTCACCCTAAGGTGCTGTGTTAGGTTTGCCAGCCTTACACAGATGCCTTCCGTACCCGACGGAGCCTCAAGAGGCACCAGGTACTTCTGTTTAAGCACCTTAGATCGTTCCCTGTCGGCTCCACTGACTGCAGGGGGAGCTTAGACACAGTTCACGTGTAGGCATCCATGTGTAGAGATTTTGAGCGTGTTTAACCTGCCTCAACTGCTGTTTGAAATGTCTAGTATATGTCATGGGGCTCTAGCTGCTGTTTCAGAGGTGTGAGTCTCCCGCAGATCCTGTGTCTTATTTGTAAGCCCCATGTGGATGCCACCAGGTACCCCCGGTCATCTCATTGCACTAGGCACCTGTGCTAAGGCAGTTACGTCCTTAAATCTGTCGCCGTAGCGTGGAGCAGAATGCCAAAGAGGAGCTGGGACCTGGTTTGCAATGTGCTATCGTACAGAATGAAGGTATTTGGCTCCGTTTACTGGAATTAGTTGAGTCCTGACTTTGAAAGGGAATCGAAGATTGCCCATCTGCCATAAATCTCCAGCAGAGTAAGTCAGCAGCCACGCAGATGGATGCCGTACTTGGCTATAATGTGACTAAACCGCGGTTAATGTCATCAGACTTTATTAGAATACAAGTTGTAAGTATCAGGAGTGGTAGTTTATAGTCTGTAGGAACTTGGTACAAAAAAAATTTACTCTGAAGTGTCTCCCAGAAGCAACTGCCACAGAATGAAAATAATGGTTTCTTCTATTTTTCCCCCATAAAACAGTTTAATTAAGTAAATAAAAAATTATTTTTAGAAAGTGATACAACCACACTGTGATTTTGAATTTCAGCATGATTTCACCTTCATCTCCAATGGCTTTTTACCTGTAAAAAACATGTTCCAAAACGTTGGAGGATTATTTATAGTTGACAATCCTTGAGCTAGGGGAACTTTTTAAAAATCAAGTTGGAACTGAGAAGAATCAGCAATTAAAGTGATTTCTGAGGTCTGTTCGGGAACCATGGAGGAGAGTTGAAGTTGATGTATACATTCTATGCTATTCCCATCCCACTGCTTTTGGGTGAGGAAAGCTTACCATCAGATTCCCATTTCATTAAAATTTCTTCCGTCAAAAATACAGATGCAGCAATAACAGTTTTTACTAGTTTGTCTTGCTGAATTGTCAAAAGCTATAAAGATTTGCTAACCTTTGGAATACTGAACCTCTGAATATCACCAGATTGAAATGTGCATAGTCAGCTTTTCTCTCAGAGTATCTTTCTAAATGTTAAAAATCTTCAGTGTGAATGAGAAAATGAATAGTTACGTGCAGCTCTAATTTTTAATTATTATTTGCAGCTGCCACCATACCATAAAACCAGCGTTGCAGTGTTCTATCACAGAGCAGAACAGAACTATGCAGTGTTCTGTCACAGAGCTACTTGCCATGTTTACCTTTACATTTGTTCCAATATCTAGCTTTTTTCCCACATATATACTGGTGATATAATCTATCTCAGGTAAATCAAATATGTTACAAGAACCGCAACTTAACTAATTATATCTGATTTCTAATTTCAATTTTATGTGTTTAAGAGAAATTATCATTAGGACTGAAAAACTTAAATTTGTTTTTCTTATGGGACTATTTACTCTATTTTTCAAACTGATCTAGATAAGTTCAAACTGATCTAGTTTCAAACTGATCAAACTGATCTAGAACGGCAGTCTATAGTAACTTATAATTCTGGGTGATTTTTACTGTGGTTTTAACTTTCTAGTGCCTTATAGAAAGCCAAAGTACGTGATGTGCACATTCACATTGGCATGTTTTGTATCTTTTACAGGAGTAGTTGAATGTATGGCAGCTGGCACAGTTGTCCTGGCTCACAATTCTGGAGGCCCCAAATTAGATATTGTGGTACCCTATGAAGGACATATTACAGGCTTCCTAGCAGAAAACGAGGACAATTATGCTGAGACGATGGCTTATATCCTCTCTCTGTCCCCTGAAAAAAGGTTAGAGATCAGAGAAAACGCTCGTCGGTCCGTGCACAGGTTTTCTGACCAGCATTTTGAAGAGACATTCTTGTTATCTGTGGAGCCATTATTTAAATAAATGTATAATAATAAAAATGTATGTGAATAAAATTAACTTTTTATATTTGACTACGTGTCACCTGTAAATATATGTAATCTATGAGCCCTTGGTCCCATTCAATAGAGATTTTTTTTTTTTCCTTCTGTCAGGGTATCTGCTTTATGTAATAGAGATTTTTTTACTGGGAAAGAAATGCTCCTGAAAATTTTCTATGTTGACTACATGACAGTACAGTGCACTGCAAAACCCCCTGGATTCACAGAACCATCGTGTTTCCTTGGTAACAGAACTACATCTGGAAGTTCTTTTATTTATTGAATACTTTCATGACTCTTGACCCACAGTCACACTTTTTAAAGTCAACACTTCTGTTTGATAGCTTTTGTACCCAGAAGATTTTTTTTTTTTTCCAGCATCTGTAGCACATTTTCAATTTGCTGTCCCCTGTTATGTGGCAAAACTCTATCGTGTGGGATTTTAATTGTGGTTCTGGAGATTTCATTACCTACAGTGATTCCTTTAGGTTAATCATATGGTTGTTTTGCAAGCTTGCTTTTTCATAAGTGTAGCAATTTCACTTCTCTATGATCCTTATATTAGCTATTTCCTCATGCCCTTCCACAGTATGATAACTTAATGGTATTTTTCCAACCCTATTCTATTGAAAGGTTTTCTGTTCCTAGGGAATAGAAGGGTCTAGATCAGAGGGCATAATTAAATACTAAACAAACATGAAAGTTAAAGCCCTAAACTACTCTTTATTATAAAACAGAACACAGTGAACAAAATGTTCAAAAACTTGACATCTGCTGTTGTATCAAAAATGGAAAAACATACAGTCCTTTTTGAGCCAACAGAGCAGTATTTTATATTTTAGCAAACTAAGAGAAGTGCAAAAAGCTACTGAAATCAGACTTTAGAATGTGGTTTTCCCTCTACTTAGGCTTCACCTGGACTATATGAAATTTTGTATATGAAAAAATATGGTTGGAAGAACTTGCTGTTCCATGTTTTATTAAGAATTGGGGAATGCACAATTCTTGTGGTGCTAATGAACCCTTTTAGTGCTACTGTATAAAACCGCTGAGCAGTTGGTGATACTATGTAGGGTCAGTACTGTGTAAATGAAACTACGGATTGTAAAGCTGTACTGGCAGTACATAGAGATTATGAAAAGCTGGAAGAGCTTCGAGTTGATTGAGCTAAGGAATACAATACACTGACTAGGAGACTTTCTTACATGATACAGAAATGGTTAAAGAGAGTATGCAATCAGAAATTTGCTCAAGCAAGTGTTGTCAGAGATGTCCCAGGTAGTTTAGAATAATAAAGATCAAAGTGCATTTCAGTCTGGATCAGGATTTTTCAACATTTAGATGCCTGAAAAGTAGCCTGATTTTTTTCCTTTCAAACAAAATAGCAACAACCTTCTATTAATTTTAACTGAGTGTTTAGCACTGTTGAACAGCAATTGATTTACTTGGCGTTTAATGTCAGCTATCCTTAAATTTTGTTACTGATGTGGCTGAAGTTTCAAGCAAGTTGAAGTTTTGAAACAGTAAAACTGTGCTGCTGTTTTAGGTAGCTCTTGCTTCCCGCTTGCCTTTTTCATTATGTGTGTTAATGCTAAATGACCCATGGTTACTTTCTAAATCATCATCAGGTTTTGCAAGTAGCTTGCGAGGTAAACTCATCTTTTCTTCATCTGTTTGACCTTTATTTATTGAAAGGATGGGAGACTCCATGGTTCTCTCTGCTGGAGAAGCTGCCACTTTTTCCAGAGATTCCTCCAGCTCATGTGTCAGTTCATCTTCAGAATCTTCAAAATTTCTGTAAAGTAAAACAATAATTATATTAATTAAATATCTTTGTTACAAGCCTTTCTCCTTTCAAGGCCTTTGAGATTTTTTTAAATTACTTATGAAGAATATACAAGCTACACACATAATGTAAGCTGTTTTTTCTTTCTCCGTGAGATTGTTTACCCGTATTTATAAGGTAAGAGAACAGGAGTTGCAAAGCCATGTTAATACTTCTGCGTAACATTTTTAATGGCAGCATTGGCATGTGACATACTAAATTACAGAATTAAAAGTTAAATTAGCAGACAGTAAAACAAGTAAGTTTTCTTCACTGATGAATTTAAAAGAACAGAAGAAAAGCTTTAGGCAATGCAACCTGTCATTTCATGAAAACTGTTCCGTCATATGGATTTTTCTTCTGATGTGCTTGACTTACGTGTCTTCATCATCTGATCTTGGCTCAAGTCTGCCTTCATCAACAGCAACAGCAGAGTGTACTTCTGAACCATCTTCCTTGTTTTCTTTTGGAAGCAACATAGTTAATCTCCCTTCTGGAAAGGAAGAGAAACAGTCCTTTGTTTGTATATTAGCTAACTATAAAAGTGTACGTAAAGTAATAGCAAATAAGTAAATGCTTGAATTTTGTTGTTGTTCAAATGACAACAATGTAAATACCATGCTTCTATTGTTCTTGATCACACGTGTTTTAGTCAGTGGTTTGTAACTTCTGCTCAGTGGAACCTAGTGTGTTTGTAGACCATAACCAAAGGACTATAGAAGTTAAGTAAGAAAGGCCATCTGTTGTTAGGTTTATGTACCCAGTACAGGGATCTGCATTTTCCCTGGAAAACTTAAGGGAGTACTGTTTGGGAAAGACTGAAAATTGCAGCTATGGTTCCCTAAAAATGCTCGCTTTCAAGACTGAAGGGCAACCCTAACCTGAAGGTAGGAGAACAATGCTAAGAGTTGTTCTAGTATAAAGACTAAATTCTGCATGTGATCCAAAAGAAATCTGTCAGTTCGGGTAACGCTGTGCTCCACAATGTCAGCTTGAGTAGCGGGGCAGAACTGGGTATTGAGAGTGCTGTATTTTAATAAATGTAACTGATAAAACCAGCAGCAGTTAGAATACCTGAGTGACCTTATTCTTGCTTCAGGCCTATGAACTGCTGACATTAGTGAAAAGTGGTTTGAATTTAATTTTCTTTTTTTAACATGTAAGCTATAAAGCTAGTCTTAGGAGAGGAATTTAGCTGGTACATTTCGCTGGTTTAGCCTTCAGGATGGGGCAGTTTTAAAAGAGCTTGTTGCACTATGAGAAAACATGTATGTGTGGCATAATTAGCAGGAGAGTGCTGACTGCACAGTTGCAAATGAAAAATATTTCTCGCGATCCATTAAAAATGTTGAAAATTGGCATGTACAATTTAGCTGGCTTAAAAGTCCTGTCATCCAATTATCCATCCATTCAGTAGACTGCCAATTGTGCATAAAAACACAATGTCTGGTTACCTTTACTGCATCTTTCTATGGAAAATACTCTGACTTTTTTGCTAACAACTGATGCAAAGTAAATGTCATTTTTAAAACAGTCTGTTACTTGAGGAAAGTGTGCTGCAGTATAAGTGAGTTCGAATCAATTTCAGTGTCAGGTGTATCAGCATGGACAATGCTGTGAAACAGTCAGTCACCACTGTAGTTTAAGCCACCATGTACTACAATTTATAGCTGTTCTACAGAAATACATGTATTTGTATAAATGTTTTTTACAGGACTCTTCAATGATTGCAGGGGCTAGTTCCAGGTTTGTGGTATCTGCCAACTTGCTGGCAGTAGTAGCTTACCTCTGTCTACTCAAGAAATGAAAGAATTATATATGAAGTAATAGCTAGTAAGTAGGGCTTGCCCTTTTCCCTGCTATTGAAAACAGCAACGTCCTGAAAGAGGCCTTTCACTGCTACAGGACAGAGAGCAGTGGCTGCTGGGACAGGCCGCCCATGTTTTTCTAGCTTGCCAACTGCTTCAAAATGTTGGTTGCCATCACAGATCCTCTGCCAATGGTAGAAGAAATAATACACTGAAGAAAAACTTGTAGAATTTACAGTAACAAACATCCTACCTATTTCCTCTTCAAGCCGGATGAAGGAGTCATTAGACAGCTCTGCTTTTGCAAAGATGTTCAGGAGTGTCCCTGGTGGTGTTTGTTTCCACTGCTTCCTGCTTTCTGGGATGTCTTCAGGCAGAATAGCATGGTCAGCTGAAGAACAGGAAGGTTCTCAGGTCACGAAAGCATGACTGTGGCTTGGCACTGTCTTTTGTCAGATTCAGACTTTCTAGTCTTGAAACTTATTTCTTCGTTTTGTGTAATGCTGGAATCCTGTTTATTTCCCTTGTGGAATACTGAATTTTTAGTAAGTATTTGGTCTGATTGATACCATAGATAAAAAAATAGTTTGGGCTATTTGTCACTAAAAATTTTTAACACCAGTTTTAATAAAGTAAAAGCTCAAGTAACTGCTTATTAGGCCTGGAATAAACAAGTGCAGCTTCATTGAGCAGCCCTTGGTCTCAAACTTGTTGGCTTCTTGGGGCTGAAAAAGCTTCAAAGAAGCTCCTGTTTCTCTTGTGCCCTATGCTCTTTCATCTAAAGCAGAATGAACAAGAGGTGGCATATTAACAACATTCTGCTCTGTCTTCACCATCCATGCAAACTCTTCAGGTTGTTTCTGTATCTAGGGTGTTGGGAGCATGCCGGAATGCTGGAAGAGCCCCTCGTTTGCAGCAACCAGTCACTGGAGATATATGGCTGCCTGGGAATACATGCACTGGTACTGTAAGAAACATAGCAATTAGCTGCTTCTGAAAAGGAGCATCACCACAGCCACACCTGTGTGAGGAGGCACTTGTGACTGTGTAGCAACAATAGTGTGTGGAGTGGGAAACCAGAACTCCACCACACTCTGGGATGGCGTCGGCAACTGCCTGCCTCAGTGCTTGTGTTTCATCAACTCAAGGCCCAAGAAAGTGGTGTTGATTAGTTGCATAGACTGGCATTGTTAGCCCTTGTTACCCAGGCCACAGAGTGATTCATAAAATGCAGCCCTCTTAATAGGTATGAGCAGGACAACATGATTGCAGTATCAGACAGAGGGGAAAATGATGACTGCATTCTATGGTTTAACACATACAATAACCTCACTTATTATGAAGTCCTGCAATTAAAAGCCTGCCAGATGATGTGAACGCTCTGGTATGGAATTGTTTTGGCAAAGGTCTGTAAGTAGTCTGGCTGAATTTTAGCAGCTCTCTGCTTTCATTCACCAAAACCCAAAACCTTCTTACCAAGTTCATTTTCAGCCATAGTAGGACATACAGAAGTGACATCAGCATCAGCTAAAAAATTCAGTAGTGTCTGAGGGGCTCCAGCTTGCCAATGTTTTCTGTTTTCTTTGGTATCATCAATATCATTGGACTCTAAGGGGAAGAAAAAGAGGAGGCAAGGTTATTTCATTCTTTTAAAGTAGATTTCAGTGTGATTGTAGTATTATGTGATATTATAAAGAGAGCGCATCAGATAAACTTGCTATAGCCTGGAGTTACTGAATTTACGTAACTCCTAAGTAATTTTCAGGATTAATACTCAGGGTTGCATTTCCCCAAGAAATACCTGTTTGGTATCCAGATAGTTCTTCCAAAGCTTTGTCCATATGATCGTCATAAACTTCCACCAATTTCTCCTTAAGGTTCTCACCATCCACAGAAGCTGAAGTCTCATGGAGTTTATCTAGTACCTGAAAAAACAAGAGGTTACTCTGGAAAGAGAAAACAAATATGGGACAATAACTAATCACTTCCCATTTTACTGTGTTTGCCAGCCATTCTCATGTATGCACAGGCAAATTGTATACCACAAAGTGAAGCAGCAGAACTCAAAAGTCACATTGTGGTTTGTGTTTCAGAGGGCTGCATGGGACTCTGCAGAGATGTGAAACAACAGAATGACAAAATAGTGTTTTATAAATTAAGAATATATATACTAGAAAGAAATTATATTTTCGATGTCGCTGTTACAAATATTTTTAAAATTCTAATGTACTAATAAAAATCTTAATAAGTAGCCATTACATGTCGATCAGCTAGAAATGTCATTTTAATAAATGAAATCACATAATGTTGTCTGTAGTCTCACTTCCACTTTTTCTAAATAGCAGCTGGTTCATCTCAATATTATTCTTGCTTTTTGATACTATACTAGTGAAAAGAAACAGAAATTTACTAAAACAATTTACAAATCAGATTTGGCATTTGCAGACTAACTCAGTTTTGAGATGAGTTCTTCCCCTCAACCCAATTTACAAAATTTAAATATCTGCACTCCTTCATCATTTACCATGTGAAAGATTGACCCAGATATCATCCAGTTTTCTTCTAAGCAATTATCCTCTTGAAGAAGGTCAGATATGTGCAATATGTCAACAAATCCTCAATAGGAAGTTTCATTATGACAAAGATAGAGGATGATGGTAATGGAAACAATTAAACCTTAGATCATGGAGCTACTGTCATGGTTTCAGATTACTAATGTAAACAACAACATACCTCTGCTTCTCGAATGCTGTCTTCCTCAGGAACACATATATCTAAATTAATTTCAAACTTTACTCCTCCCTAAAGAAAATTCACATACTTCATTATTTTATTAAATAAAAACATTTAATTAAACACAGTTTATATGGAACTACAAACTTCAAAATTATTCTTCTATTGAAAATAACTTTTATTTAACAATACTTCTCTTCAATTTAACAAGATCAAAGCTGAACGAATTGGCCAAAAATAGACTGCTCTGAATGTAGTTTATGCATATTTTTAAATGATTGCATAAGGCTGGAATATTGTTGATTTTAAGGCAAGGTGTCTTTGATAATCATTTAATTCAATCCTTGCAATACACAGAGTTCATTCTTACAGCTCATTCTCAACCAGTATTAAAATTTGAATGCTGTACCGCTTCCATGCCGTATTTCACAAAAGACCTTTAGGCCACTTCACAATGATCTCATGGCCAGAAACTTTCCTGATATCTTATGTGCATTTCTATTCAATTCCTAACCCCTTCTACAATTTAAAAAGCACTATAGAGGATAATGTTTTACAACAAAATGTTAAGAAATTAGCAGCCTGACTTGACTTTACTTAAACTTAGAGTAAACATGAGTTTCCATACACTACTAATGCAGTTTGATATAAAGATGAGCAGGCAGGGATTGATGACTATCTGGGAATATCTAAAGGGAGTCTCCCTCAAATGATCAGAAAAGCTCCGCTACGCATTTCTTGGTGATTCTACCATCTCATAGAAACTTTTAACAGTAGACCAGCACTCTTAATTGACTCTCAAATAACTTGATTTCCAGAGCTACCATGGTAACACAATCATTTGAAATGTATAGATATAAGAAGAAAATGGAAAAAATACAACAATAAGGATGAATACCTTTGTGTTATATTTATTTTCTAAGATTTTTTCATCTTGCCTATCCTGGAGTCTGACTTGTTTAAAGTGTTCTTCCATGTCCTGGAAGGAGGAAAAAAAACCCAACTTACTCCTTTTCATATTCCTATGTCCTATGTTAGAACATGTCAGATAAAAGCACAGTAAATAATTGTATGCAGCTCCTTCAGCCATCTGCTGCAATTAGGGCACATCCTCAACCTCAGGTGAAACCATAACAATTCACAGATTTTACTTTTCTGAAATATCTATGCAGTTTCTCCAGTAGATGGAGTGCCCATGAACTAAGGTGACATCAAGCAGGGACAAAACCTAGTGTTTCTTTTTCATTATCACGCATTTCCCATTAACTCACTGGGAATATAATTTCTGTCCTGTCGTGGCTCTGGTTGCCTATAACCTACTTTATTCCATCAAGTGATGTGTGAATTCATTTTAGTAAAAGCCAGATCCAGGATCCATGAAAATCACTGAAGAGAATCCTACTAATATTGGCAGGTTTGGCCCAAGTTCCAGCTGAATAGGGTAGCAATGTCTGTCACCGGTTTATGTGGAAGTCTGCCCCTTGCTACTGAACAGCGCAGGAAAGTCCTACGCCACATGAGGCAAATCCTGACTGAAGAATCCTAGTAGCTAGATCAGGGCTGTCTTCCCTTCAGAACAGACTGGGAATTTGCACACTGAGATTAATTTTCATAAATTGAGGCTTTCAATCGTTTCATTTGAGGAAAAGCGCACGTGTTGCTGCAGAACTCCATGTGGTCTGGAAACCTCTTCTGATGTTCACAACGCCAATATTGCAAAGTAAGCGGGGAACAATTCTGAAAATCCATTCCAGTAGCTACTTTGGTAGTATTTGATGAGAAAGAAGTGAAGGAGTCCTGTAGCTGGAAAGCTTTGGCCCTGCCTCTTCTTCCCGCTTCTCCCAAATTTTTGTTTAAGTAAGGAGTCCACATAAAACTGGATTCTCACTTCCCACGCAGTGCTACTCTCATGAATTGCTATATCTTTTGCACAGATTTCTCATGAAGATTTGCACTGTGAGTGGCTTCTTCACTCAGAAAGCAAGGAAAAGAAACATACCACCAAAAAAAATTAAGTAGAAGTACATCATAATATTTACAGATGAAAAAGAATTACCAAAACAAGTCAGGAATCAGCCAAAGAAACTTTCCAGGCTATTCATGAAGGGAACCTAAGGAGACTTTGACATGTGGTGCAAGCATCAGGTGAGATTTAAGCTTTACTGTTTTTCAGATTCGTCACAGAGAGTGAATCAAAGACCATGCGGGACTTGCATAAAAATTTCTGTTTAGACTAGGAGATGGTACCGATACCTGAAGTGATTCTTCTTCTGTTCCAGCTGTACCCTTGGTTTCAGACTGGTCCTCAGCTTTTCCTTGCCTCACAAGATATGTTTTATCTTGTATTTTTTGATTCTCCTAGGGAACATTTTTATAAAATATTCATTTCAATTTCTAATTAAGTGTACTAGCTTAAAAAAGAAAAAGGAAATATGACTCTGTGTATGTTTAAGCTTTGTTACCTGGAGTACTCCTGCTCTACATCTGAATTCTTTTATATCATTGTGGTATTCTTCCCGAATTTTCTGCAATTGTTTCAGGTACTCCTATCGAAGAACAGTAAGGTAGAATACATATGTATTAGAAATACATACAGAAATAACACTAGCTAAACAAAATATTCTATGGATATCAAACTGTGTATATATGAGAAAAAGGGATCAGTGTCCTTTACTGCCAATTTTAAAGATTGCTTCATACTTCCTATTAGAGGACATTTTGGAGTAATAACTCTTCCAGACTTCAACCTTTTTGAAGTTTTCCAGACTGTTTCATGCTAGATTTTCTGTAGAATTGTATCTAAAACAGCTAATTCCAAGAATAACCTAAGGACAGTCTGAGTAATGACTCTAAGGTTGCAGTCCAAAAATAGAGGACTGGAAATCAGGAGGACAAAAAATTATGCATTATTTATTGTATTGCAACCTGCTCCACAAAATGAAACAAAACCTGGTAATCTTTTCTTGGAGAAGCTTCAAATTTGGTCAAAAGATAATTTTTGTGTTAAGGACATCTCTGTTACTGTTTATATGAGAGTCTATCCCAATTTGCCCATGTTACAAATGGACGAATCTGTAAAATTTCATTTTCTGGCATTTAGTACAGACTTTGTGGAACTAAACAGCAACAGTGTCTGAAGAATGTGTACATGATGAGTATGTTCTCACTCCAAAGTCTGACCATTATGTAGAAGTTAATATATTCATATTTATTCTGACATTTTTTTATAAATCAAAGATAGAAAGATTAAATGTATTTACACGAGTTCATTTAAGAAAGAAGTATCAGTTTGTTTTCTCTGTCACCCAAAAGCAAAACCAGAGAAGTATACTGTTTCTGTACAAAATAATCTCCAAAAGTTATAACTTAGCAGGGAAGTAGCATGCATCACATACTATTATTATCACATTCTAAATGCCACAGTATGACTTATGAACAATGAATATACATACACGAATAATGCATGTATGACTATTTTCTCTGATTTGTAAATGTGAGGATCTATTGTCTTCCAACATTAGTTTGTTCAGTGATGTAACTCCTCTAATCTCAGTAGAAGTGAAATCAAAATCAAGGCCACAGTTTATGAAATTATTATGGACATCAGCTTTTGTGCAAGTCTTCACCAGTTTATGTAAGATGGAACCAGATGAAAACAGCTTATATTTTCCTAGTGGTCAGATGGAAAAGAATCAATTCTTATGTAAAGAATACTATTGTCAAGGAGTGTAAGAAGACAGCTTTAAGCAGCTAAGGAAGATATTTAATTTACCTGTTCTTTCATGTCATTCTTTCTAGACATGTCCTGCTGATGATTTTTGAGATGCTCTTCCTTTATTTTCTGCTGCTGTATTTGGTCATGATAAGGGTCAGCAGAGGATGGTCGCAGTCCCTATGGATATACAAATAAATCCCAGGGCAAAGGAATTTTCATTTAGAATCCTTTCCTTCAGTGCTCACTCAATTCACTTTCCCTGTTCCACTGAAGAGTGCCATAAGGCAAGTGCATATTTTTGCAGGAGAAAGTTATAGTAGAATTTTACATTGCTATAGTATTGTATTAGACAATAAAGCCTCAAGATGAGCACTATGGAGCAGATCAATGAATTCGCTAGAGCTGAACTTTCTACCTGTCAGTGTTACAGTCTGCTATTAGAATAACATCAGTTCATCTTTTGGATTTTCATTCAGTTTCTTTTACAGATTTTATTCTATGATTCAGTATTTACTTACCAGTTGTTTTTCCACTTTAGTCTTGTACTGTTGGGCTTCAAAACGCCTTTGAAGGTATTCTGCAGGCCTGAGAGAAGAAAGTGATGTTCATATACTACATTTTATTTCACAGACCCAGCTATCTTCTGCACAAATAATTCTCTATCAGTTCTATCACATATGACAAATTGAGCTCTCTTTGTCCTACATGAATATATAAATATGGATAAAACATGTATAAATATGGAACAACACTAAAATAACAAAAAGAAAATATATCCAATTCAGGCATTCCCCTTCCTATTACTTCAGTTAAATTAGCCTTCTGAAGAGTGCAGCAAAGTCCTTCTCCGCCTTTTAATTGATAAATGGAATGTGAAAGTATAAGCCTAACTTTGTATTTGTGTAGTTTTGAGTGTTTTAAACATTTACCTCTTTTTTTTTTTTTTTTTGCTATACAGTAACCAGCAGTCAGTTGTAAGTTCCTTGACTTCTATTTAATTTCCTGCCTTCAGAATCCACTTGTGCCTCAGGGAGCCAAACTGAATTGACTTTGTCCTTAAGTAAGGCACTAGAAACTCGGCTCAGACAAGTGTTCTAAAACTGATGATGCTTAACTGAAACATTCTAAACGCTGTCATCATTGAATGAAAAATAATGATTAAGTCAACCTTAAAGGAAGGATCCCAAAGTAGGCAGTACTAAAAATTCCTTACCTTCCTTTCTCAAGGTTTTCAAAGCTCATCCACGCCTAAAATGGCCAATCATGGAATGGACAGCCAATCTCTAAAGTAATAAAAAGGTTGTACCTCTACTTTGTAAGAGAAAGGCTTTGAAGTAAACAAACTGCTGGAGAAAGGGTCTTTGTATCTGAAACCAAAATATAAGCTCTGCAGGAAAAAAACATTTTCATAGCCTGCCTCCCACTCTGTTCCCTCAAGTGGAGAACTGTTTTTGGTCTTTATATTGTTCTGATACTGGTGGGAAGGAAAGACAGTGTTTATCCTTGATACAATCAGAAAGTCTACAAAAAGCCCATGTTTTACTTCTCACCCAATAAAATGCTGAGATTTGGGAAACATTTTGATAATGCAATTTCAAACATCTGGACAATACCTTCAGAAGGAACTTCTGGATAGACAGGAACAGGAGTTACGTTATGTAAGAAAATTATCAAAGACCAAGCAGAGAAGGAATTACACTGAATGAGCCATGTCCAGTGTTACCTTATCAGGAAGGCTGATAACTCAAAACATGCATGACAGTTCACTACCAATAAACAGAATGAGAAAGGTTTACCAGTTGGGTGGTGGGGGTGGAGGTGCAACTTGTCCTTTTAGTTTATAGTATTCCTCAACTCTTTGGCTGATGTGAGAAAGGTCATAATATGCATTAGCTTTCCTCTGCAAGTTGTCAAGCTTATCATAGTAATGACCATAATGGCCATGTACTCTAATACTTTCTGGCCTTTCTGCCATCTTAAATCTGGAGCTCTGTGGCTGAAAATATAATAAAGGATGTTAATTTCCCTGTTCTCATTTGTATCAGTACAAGTTTGAATTAACTTCCTGTCCTTCTCCCCAGTCTGAGTTGCATGGTAATATAGTCTACAGTATAGTTTGCGTTAAGTTTTCCAAATCCTTTCAGATGCTTCCTAACTTCTCAGTGCATATGTCATCTTACCATTGTCTTTTCCTCTGTTCCATCAGCTCCTGTCATTAAGCAGCAGCCCATATTGTTGTGTGAGTCCATCAGCATGGGGCTTTGTACTTTGTAGTGTCATTGCCCTAGAGTCACTTCATCGTTCTGAAGCCTAAAGCACTGAATTAATTCCAGGAGAGTCTCATTTTGACATGTGAGAGCAAGGGGAATCTGGGAGGTAGTTCTGGGCAGCATACGCATTGACTGCTGCTTTCAGGGGAGCACTGTGCTACTTCATGTCACCATGTCTTTGATTATGTGCCTGCTGGAGCTTGCCTTTCATTTCTCAAAGTCCTTACTGTGATGAAACATTCCTGTATTTCTACTTTGTGACAAAACTGTCTTTTCGATTTCTCATATGAACAATGGAGAGAAGGTGATCGTCTGGCTGCCACTGCATGATATGAAAGAAGTGTGGTAAGATATTCACAAACATGGTGGGAGACTAAAAACCACTATATGGTGTACAAGAAAAATGCTTAGTTTGGCTTATTTTCTTACATAAATTAAAAGCATCTAAGTAACCCTTCCTTAGATGGTAAATACATTAACTATTCTTCCCTGTTTTCCTTCTTAGAAACACTGAAAATAGGCTCATCTACCTATGGTATAATCCAGATTACAGTAGAATATAAATTCATATCTATATAAGAAGAAAATTTTCCACTGACAATAATGCTCCCAAGTTAGAGGTAACCTCAAAAGGTGTTTATCTTGCCCCTCACTGAGGTAAGTTTTACAGTATGGTATCCAGAAGCATGGCAATTCCAAGCAATAGGGAGAACAAATCAGGCCATCTAAATAAATGTAAGAGGATTGAGAACTGTGACCAGTGAAGCAGGTGCCCTGGTGACACAGGCCATGGAAAAGGCTGAGGTACTGAATGCCTTCTTCACCTCAGTCTTTACTAGCATGACCAGCCTTCAGGAATCCCAGGCCCCTGTGACTAGAGGGAAAGTCTGCAGCAAGGAAGACATACCCTTGGTGGAAAAGAATCAGGTTAGAGAATACATAAGCAGACTGGACAAACATAAGTCCATGGGCCCTGATGGGATGCACCCATGAATACTCGGGGAGCTGGTAGATGTCATTGCAAAGCCATTCTCTATTATCTTTGAATGATCACGGCAGTGATCGGGAGAAGTGCCCGAGGACTAGAGGAAAGCAAATATCACTCATATCTTCAAAAAGGGCAGGAAGGAGGACCCAGGGAACTACAGGCTGGTCAGCCTCACCTTAATGCGCCTCACCTTAATGCCTAGCAAGGTGATGGAACAACTAATCCTGGAAACCATTTCCAGGCACATGAAGGACAAGAAAATCATCAGGAGTAGTCAGCATGGATTCACCAAGGGTAAGTCATGCTTGACCAACTTGATAAGCTTCTATGATGACAAAACTGGGAGGAGTGGCTGATACACCAGAGGGTTGTGCTGCCATCCAGAGAGACCTCAACAGGCTGGAGAAATGGGCTACCAGGAACTTCAGTGGAGTTCAACAAGGGGAAGTGCAAAGTCCTGCACTGTGCACCAGTACACGCGGGAGGCCACCCTGCTGGAAAGCAGCTTGGCAGAAAAGGACCCGGGGGTCCTGGTGGACAACAAGTTGACCATGAGCCAGCAATGGGCTCTTGCTGCAAAGAAGGTGAATGATATCCTGGGTTGCATTAGACAAAGTATTGCCAGCAGGTCGAGGGAGGTGATCCTTCCCCTCTGCTCAGCACTGGTGAGGCCACACCTGGAGTGCTGTGTCCAGTTCTGAGCTCCCCAGTACAAGAGAGACATGGACATACTGGAGAGAGTCCAGTGAAAGGCTACAATGATGATTAAGGCACTGGAGCACTTCTTGTGGGGAAAGGCTGAAAGAGCTCATACTGTTAAGCCTAGAGAAGGCTCAGATGGGATCTTATCCCTTGTATAGATACCTGAAGGAGGGTGCAAAGAGGACGGAGCCAGGCTCCGTCACTGGTGCCCAGTGACAGGCCCAGAGGCAATGGGAACCAACTGAAACACAGGAGGTTCCCTCTGAACACCAGGACACACTTTTTCACTGCGAGGGTGACCGAGCACTGGCACAGGTTGCCCAGAGAGGTTGTGGAATCTCCATCTTCGGAGATATTCAAAAGCTGTCTGGACACAGTCCTGGGTAACTGGCTCTAGGTGGCCCTGCTTGAGCAGGGGCGTGGACAAGGTAACGTCCAGAGGTCCTTTCCAACCTCAACTATTCTTGATTCTGTGAATCCTGAAGCAACACATTCAAAGTATGATACTATGCAAGTATCCCTGCAACCCTGCAAACTGATTGCTCCATTTGGGTGCTGAAAAAATGTGGGAACTTTCCCCGTGTTTATATTAGAGCATGTCTTGTAGATCAAAACACTGTGGACAAAATTCTGCCTTTGATTACAACAGTGCACAGTGCAAGAAAACTTAACCAGCATCTCTGGATTTGCATTGGATATGCACAAAGGTAACTGTGAGGAAAATTAAGTCCTATATTCTGCATAAGTCCAGTACTATCCATAGGTAGTGCAAGTGACCGCTTGAGGGCTGCAGTTCTGGGAACCCCACAAGACTCTACCATCAGTTAATCCACTGTAACTGCACAGTGCAATTACTGCTGGGAGCTCCCAGAACCTAAATGTGCTTTGCTCTGTGTTCACCAGCACCCAAGGCAGTACTACATGCTCTTGAAAATAAAGGTATGAAGTGATGCCAAAGTAAGAGGCTGGAGGCAGCATACAGCTGATAGCCAGCCTGAGGAAAGAAGAAGGTAGAAAATGAGTGAGGGACACAAGTGGTTGTGAAGAACTGAGGTGTTCTGCTGTAGAGTTTGATCACAGTTTGTTGTAACAAGTATTTGAGACAAGGGCAGTGGGTGCCAGTGGTTTTGCCCATGAATGGGCTCTCAGAAGTGTTGAGGTAAAAGGATCAGTGTATTTGCTTCTATAGCAAAAATGCAAACACAGAGTTTATTTGCCTCTGTGCAAATATAAATGCAACTGACTCCCTTTGTTACAAAGGACCGTACTGAAGCAGCCAAAATTCAGTGTTTCCCACCTGGGCTTTCTAAAACACCTCTTCTGAGGCTTCAGGAGTGCTTAACTGTCTCCACTGACTTAGTGTAGGCATTAAGCTGAATTTAATACATCTTAATGAGCCTTTTAAAGGGTTTTTTCTAAGAGCAGGAATTTGCCTTCTGAAGATGATTAAATATTACGAGAATGTGGATGCACAGTACCTGAAAAATAGGCTGTTGCCCTCTTGAAGGAGGTTTCCATTCATTTCTTTGAAATAATTCCTGTTTGACAGGCACCACCATTCCAGATTCTGGAGGAACTTGGTCCTGGACTCTCCTTTTTTGAAGTTTATGTGCTTTTTAAGAATAAAAGATTAAAAGGTTACCTTCTGTGCTCTCTATATGATTAATGATCATGTAGTTGCAAACCATAGTAGGGTGCATACAGCTAACACTGACAATCTGGGCTAACAAGCATTCCTTACGTCCT